GGACTACGTCAGGCTAGAGCATCACATCTCATCCCAGAGCTTCGGCCTAAGAAGGAAGAAACCTTATCTGAGGAAAGTAGATCAGGATCAGGAAAGCCGCTTGTTGGGCAAATATGTAAGGCTGTTAAGAGACAGAAACACAAATCAAATCAGTTCACTCATCCGTTGGTGAGGAACAGTTCTTAATCAGGCAAAAACCAGACTTTGACTTTCAGAGTAAGATGTCCGCATGAATGGACTCAAGTCACATCACTCTTTAATGCAACATGTTTCGACTCGTGTGTCGAATCTTAGACGGCCATTTAAACACCATGACTGATTTAGTAACAGAGAGGATTTATGGATTTGTCAATTTTTTACTTTTATCTTGTTTGGTTGTATTTTCCTAAACAAGATTCTCAACAACACATAAGCCTCAGGCCCTGCTGGTTCCTACTCACACCAAGCGGCGATGCTCAGAGGCACAGCAACACGATATGGAGACAGTCGCACTCAGAAGTAATTTGAATGCTTGAACGCTTGCATGAATCATGTCATGAGTTGTGATTCTCTCGCTCTGTTTCAATCTCTGCCAGGGTATCGCAGGGACAGACGTGGCCAAAGAGGCGTCCGACATCATCTTGACTGATGACAACTTCAGCAGTATCGTCAAAGCAGTGATGTGGGGACGAAACGTCTACGATAGCATCTCCAAGTTCCTGCAGTTCCAGCTCACAGTCAATGTAGTGGCTGTCATCGTGGCCTTCACCGGCGCCTGCATCACCCAGGTGGACAGCTTTATGCACGCTCATATATGCTGGCACACACTCACTTTTATATGATGAAGACACACAAATGTCGCTCCTGTAAACATCACTCACCTTTTATCTGCACAGACAAAGATAGCAGAAAATGCTTTTATTGCATTTTTAAAACTGGGCTTATGTAAGCAGTGATGTCCAGGTCAGAGAAACAACGTACATTCATGTGGAAGGAACACCAATCTTAACAAGAATGTACAGTCAGGTCCATAAATATTGGGACATCAACACAATTCTAATCTTTTTGGCTCTATACACCACCACAATGGATTTGAAATGAAACAAACAAGATGTGCTTTATCTGCAGACTTTCAGCTTTAATTTCAGGGTATTTACATCCAAATCAGATGAACGGTGTAGGAATTAAAACAGTGTGTATATGTGCCTGCCACTTTTTATGGGACCAAAAGTAATGGGACAGATTAATAATCATAAATCAAACTTTTACTCTTTAATACTTTGTTGCAAATCCTTTGCAGTCATTTACAGCCTGAAGTCTGGAAGGCATAGACATCGCCAGACGCTGGGTTTCATCCCTGGTGATGCTCTGCCAGGCCTCTACTGCAACGGTCTTCAGGTCCTGCTTGTTCTTGGGGCATTTTCCCTTCAGTTTTGTCCTCAGCAAGTCAAATGCATGCTCAATCGGATTTAAGTCAGGTGATTGACTTGGCCATTGCATAACATTCCACTTCTTTCCCTTACAAAACTCTTTGGTTGCTTTAGCAGTATGCTTTGGGTCATTGTCCATCTGCACTGTGAAGCGCCGTCGAATGAGTTCTGAAGCATTTGGCTGAATATGAGCGGATAATATGGCCCGAAACACTTCAGAATTCATCCTGCTGCTTTTGTCAGCAGTCACATCATCAATAAATACAAGAGAACCAGTTCCACTGGCAGCCATATATGCCCACGCCATGACACTACCACCACCATGCTCCACTGATGAGGTGATATGCTTTGGATCATTAGCAGTTCCTTTCCTTCTCCACACTCTTCTCTTTCCATCACTCTGGTACAAGTTGATCTTGGTCTCATCCGTCCAAAGGATGTTGTTCCAGAACTGTGAAGGCTTTTTTAGATGTTGTTTGGCAAACTCTAATCTGGCCTTCCAGTTTTTGAGGTTCACCAATGGTTTACATCTTGTGGTAAACCCTCTGTATTCACTCTGGTCAAGTCTTCTCTTGATTGTTGACTTGGACACACATACACCTACCTCCTGGAGAGTGTTCTTGATCTGGCCAACTGTTGTGAAGGGTGTTTTCTTCACCAGGGAAAGAATTCTTCGGTCATCCACCACAGTGGTTTTCCATGGTCTTCCGGGTCTTTTGGTGTTGCTGAGCTCACCAGTGCGTTCTTTCTTCTTAAGAATGCTCCAAACACTTGATTTGGCCACACCTAATAGCTATCTCTCTGGTGGGTTTGTTTTGATTTTTCAGCCTAATGATGGCTTGCCTTACTGATAGCAACAGCTCTTTAGATCTCATATTGAGAGTTGACAGCAACAGATTCCAAATGCAAATAGCAGACTTGAAATGAACTCTGGACCTTTTATCTGCTCCTTGTAAATGGGATAATGAGGGAATAACACACACCTGGCCATGGAACAGCTGAGCAGAAGATTGTCCCATTACTTTTGGTCCCTTAAAGAGTTTTATTGAAAATGGTTAAAATGTGTTAAACTGTTTGGTTATGGAGGTACCAATATGGAGGATTATGTTATGGAGGAACTATTACGACATATTGTCTGCTCCAGTGATGTAATGGAGAACATAGCCAACTCTCCATGGTCTTCGTTCCTGGTGGGCCTATCCTCCCAGTGCCTTGGTTGGATTAAACATATGTTCACTACAAAATGAAATAACATGAATTGACTTATTGCAGAACAAGTTTCTGATAGCAGCGTGATCTGTGACACAGGTTTCTGGATGAAAATGTCTCTGCAGGATTCTCCTCTGAAGGCGGTGCAGATGCTTTGGGTGAATTTGATCATGGACACGTTTGCCTCCCTCGCTCTGGCTACCGAGCCCCCCACTGAGGCCCTGTTGCTACGGAAACCCTACGGGCGAAACAACCCGCTCATCTCTCTCACCATGATGAAGAACATCCTGGGCCATGGGGTCTACCAGCTGGTCATCATCTTCACTTTGCTGTTTATAGGTAAACACATTTCTGAACACATTCAACTAGTAAAGCTTATTTTCTAAATTCCTAATCCCATCTGACCATCTCCACACCTCCCAATCTAAACGTCCTTGCAACAGAAAGCACTTCTGGAATGACAGATTATGAAAGCTATTTAGCCAACGGCTCATGTTCCAAACTATTTCCTGACTCCCTGAATCTCAAACTAAAGTCCGTCAAATAGATGCATATTTAAAGGTCCAAACACACAGTTTGTTGAACTGAAGATGTCAAAACACTTTCATCAAAGAAAGCAGCAGAAAATAATTCCTCCTTTGTGGAGACGCAGAAAGAAGGAGTCAGCCTGGCAGCTGTCTGACTCACCGGATGTCTGTTGCGGGTAATTGGCCTGTTTTTACCAGAGTTCTCCTCATGTTAGCGTAAAGCACTATTGGTTGGTTCAAGGACAACAGGAGGACAAGAGGAAAACCAGAAAAGGAGGAGTTTCTGTGTCTCTTTGTTTTCCTTCCAAAGAGCCAGAATTTCCTCTGAACATTTAGGAGTGTCCAAAAAGGCTCGTCCTTTCCACACCTTCACAGTTCTTCATCATCCAACGGTGGGCTAATCTGCGTTTGACAGTAACCAAAGGAAAAAGTAAACCTTTACTCTAAAGTAGTAGTAGTGATAAAAAGGTATATTCAGGTAACATTGAGAAATGTTCAACCTAAAGGGGCCCAATAAGCTAAAATAAATCAAATATGCCAAACGTTTGTCTCCATAAAGTTTACAAAGTTCTTTTTTAAGCCTGAAAGAATTTTTGCAGCCTGCATGATTATCAGGCATAAACTGTGTTCAATTTAAAAATAATGTAATAATCCAAAAAGGGAAATTAAACATTGCAGATGCTGATGCTGTAGGCAGGAAGGATCTCCTGTAGCGGTCTATCTTGCAGGGGATCTGGAGAAGCCTCTGACTGAAGAACTTTTTTTGTTCTTTAAAATCTCCATCAGAGGATGCACAGTGGTGTCCATAATAAGTCAAAAGGAATGGAGAGAGTACCGCCCCCTGTGGTGCTCCTGTGCTGCTGGATCAGACAGCTGAACCTTCGGTCTAACAACCTGTGGTCTGTTTGTCAGGTAGTCTTTGATCAAGGTGATTGTTGATGATGCCTCCACCTGAGTCTGCTGGAGTTTCTCTCTAAGTCAATCAAAGACCATGATCCTCACAGTGCTGTTTGCCTTGTCTATATGACAGTAATGGCGGCTGGATAGTTCAAGAGGTAGGTCCCCCGTCCTGCAAACAGGAAGCCTGGGCGTGTATCCCAGCTGGGAGGGAATGAGCTGCCGGTGTTCGTCCTTAGGCAAGACCTTCACAATAAGGCCTGCTTTGGGGAGCGGCGGCCCAGTGGTTAGGGCATTGCACTTGGAATCAAGATGTTCTGAGTTAGAGCCCCACTCCCACAGACTGCCACTCTGGGTCTCTGAGCAGAGACCCTTAACCCCACACTGGGATGTGTTACTGGTGACAGTGTAATGATGCTTTCTGTTCATCCACCTGGTGCCAAAACCTTTATGCTTCCCGTCTCTTCTCTGCCTCTTCCATCTACAAACCTGATGAAAGAATAAAATGTTCCACAAGCAACAGTTACATAATTTTTTAAATATGTTTTTTCAGCACAGTAAAGAACTGAAAACATCTGGAAGCAGAACCTGAATGATAAAAGATCCTGTTTCTGCTGTAGGTCAGGATTCAATCCAACAGCTCTGAACCACTGGTGCAACATTTACTCAGCAGGGAGGCGTTGGTGTTTTCCTGGTTTACCTTCTAGGCCTCGCTGCCTCCATGCAGCTGCAACATGGCTGACTGAATGAAGTTTGGGGAGCTTTAAACTTTAGATATACAGAAACCTTACAACTGTTGCTGTGATTTAGGGTTTTTTTATGCAGAGATGAGAACAAGTGTTTTTTGTCATGTTTACATGACGCAAGTATAAAACTTATTCTAAGTATATCCTTTTAAACCTGTTTATATTCCACATTCTCGCACTGTAGTATTATTTGCATGCCTGAATGATCCATAGGTGAGATTTACAGAGACGTAGCAAGCAAAGTGGTAACAGGAAAACCTTAAGGTGTAAACCTAGAAAAGGAGCGAAAATCCAGCAAACAACCATTTGTATGGATGAAGAAGGATCTGGCAACATGGAGCTAGAATATGGGGTCGAAGGTGACTAGCAGAGACACGTTCCTGGTCTTTATTTAGCTTTCCAAGTTGCTAAAGTGTCACGCAGAAGGCTAAAGACGCAGAATCATGTTTTTCCTCTTTCATCTGATGTTTCCTCCCCAGGCGAGCGCATCTTTAACATCGACAGCGGCCGCAACGCGCCTCTCCATTCCCCCCCCTCTGAGCATTACACAATCATCTTCAACACCTTCGTCCTCATGCAGCTTTTCAATGAGATCAACGCTCGCAAGATCCACGGAGAGAGAAACGTCTTTGACGGCATCTTTGCCAACCCCATCTTCTGCTCCATTGTTTTGGGGACCTTTGCAGTGCAGGTCAGATTAAACCTTTCACACATTAATTGGTTGGAAAACTTTGTCTGATTCTTTATCTTTTCGGTTTCTTTAAATAGTACCAATTCTCAGCAGATGTTATTCCAATAAATTTCAGAAACTCAATTAAATCGAGGGTGTGCTGCAACTTTTAGATTCACCCTTGGTCCCACACAGCTGGATCCAATGAGTTACCTCAGTATGCAGTCGGTTCCTCCAAAGTCCGCTCAATTGTCAAATTACTTGATTCCTCCTACTTAACCCTTTATAGGGCATTCAGTGAAAGACTTTAAACCTCTAAATTTCATGGAAAGAGTACACTGCAAACAACTGAAATCTAAGTAAGTCACTTTTTCTTAAAATAAGTGCGTTTTTTCCTGAGCTGAGCAGGTAAGTAAGATACTTTGCAAATGTAATAAGAAAATTATCATTTAAAATAAGGGGGGGGGGATGCAGTCTCTTATTTCAAGTGCATAATATCAAATAATCTGATTTTAAGGATAAAAATACTCCTTCAACTGGGAGATTTTCTTATTTATCTACTCAAAATAAGGGTAAATGCACTTACTTTAAGACATTTTCACTAATTTATAGATCATTTTTGTAGTGTGTTATTGGAATCCAGGACAAGACCTTATTACCTTTGTAACGTTCAAAAAAGATGTATATTTTGATGGCATAAATGAATGTCAATGTAATAAACAAGAAACACCAACTTTCCTGTAAATATTAAGCAAAATAACAAAAGTGCTTCTAAAAGAAATTTGTGAAAAACACTCTAAGAGTAAAAGAAATGGCACTCCATTTGTAAGGGGTGGTATGCAAGTGATCAAAAATTGTAAAAACTTGCTCTATAAAGGGTTAAAAAACCTGGCAATGATGGCAGGCCAACTTCAGGTCCATCTCTAAGCTGCCCTTTGTTTGTAAACTCTCATTTTAGATGAACATGGTGTCCTGGAGGTGTTTCAGTCTGCTTTTAAATCTCCACATAGCACTGATTCAGCTATGCTAGACTTAGACAAACTATACTGCCATCTTGTATACAAAGTGAAATTTTGATTTCTACAGCTTTTCAACAGTTAAAGAGCAGCTTAGCAGTGAAATTAACATTTCCATTTATAAAGTGCAGCAGTGATCAGAATGTAGAGAAAAGGAAACAAGTTTAAAGTCATGGAGCAAAAGGCTTTGATAGGATGTTATCAAGTGTGACGCAGAGACTGGATTAGAATTCAACAGTTCATCAGTGTGATGGCGTTGGGGAAGAAGCTGCTGCAGAACCTGCTGGTCCTGCATTGAATGCTGTGAAGCCTCATCCCAGAGGGCAGCAGGGAGAACAGTCCATGGTGGGGGGGTGAGGGGTAACATCATTGATGATGGTTGCCCGTCTGCAGCAGCCAGGGCTAACGTTAGCCCCGGCTGCTGCAGACGGGCTTTCGTTTGCCATGGGTTAAGGTTAGCCCATCTGCATTTAGCCACTGCTAATGCTAACCCGGGCTGCGGTTGTTGCCGTGGTCCTCTCAACATCATAACTTTTTTTAAATAAATCAGTATATGGACCACATAGTGAAGCTTAAATAATAATGTTCTTGCCTCAAATTATCTTAAAACATACTTTTATTGAACAACAGCAACAGAAAAGAGAACTTTTAACTTAACACTCTGAGCTCTGTG